ATTTAAAAATGTTGAAAACGAGGTATATAATGATGATGCAAAGTAAGTAGGTAGAAGTATATAAGATGTATTGGATAAGGCTGGTAAAAATTTGCATTGTTGAAAGAAGTGGTCAAAATATAAGGGCATAATGATATTCAATAACTATCCAATATATAAACTTTTAGAATTTATTTAAGCTTGTATTCATAAACTTTGAAAAACTAATAATAATTTACTGATAATTAAAATGAAAGTATCGAGAACATACGAACAATGAGAGTGTGATAAGAATATTTGTGGTAATTTCTAATATACCAAAATAATAAACTGATTTAATAATTATCTGCTTAAAATGCCAAGAAACAAAATTGAAATAATTTATTAAATTATTAAATAATTGAGAGAATAAAAGTGTCTGAAACATGTCACAAAACTTGCTTTTTGTCAGCAGATGTAATTCTTGATCTTAACGTCCACAATATTTTAGCTCTCTGGCTGTGTAATGATCGGCCAGTGTTCATTTAACTATTATCATGGCCAAGGTTTTTCATCTCTATTGCCGTACTTCTTGCCTTTGCGATTTCTATTTGATTAATTAGCCATGTTTTTTCTATTGCTCAAAACGTTCGGGCTAACGACCAATGAGTTGAATGAATCGCAGAAAAAAATTTAGAATTGCGCAATTACTTTTTATTACAAACGAACGCAGGCTAAGTGAATATTATGAAACATGATAATTGCTGTATAATAACGCGTAAAACAACGAAATAATGGTTTGTTTGCGGCCGTAAAAAATATATTATTTAAAAGTCATAGAATGCAAATATGACTTCAAGAACAAATTGAGTTGATGTGCAGTAATTGCTTTCATGATGGAATAAAACTGAGTAAACAATTACTAATAAATGTTTGATTTTATTATTGAAATGGTAGAATTAAATGAACGATTAACTTGAAATAGGATCTATCAGTCATAAAACAGCAGTTTTGTAAGATTGAATCATGTTTAAATGCTTTATGCGATATTTGCTATATTATATACCATTTATCCAATGTACTAATATTTCAAAGTTTTGCATTTTAAATTGTCCCATCACATATTCTGATCGATTATAAATATTACAACATTATAACATATTTGATCATGTATTAAAATAACTTAAAATCCTCACAACTCTATTGTTTTCAAACTTTAGCCTGTACAGAATTAAATTCGCCCAAGGTAGATGCAATTTGAAGTGAATTAACATTTTATAATAATAAAACATATCGTACGAAGTAAATAGAATTAAAATGGAATGTTTTACAGTTTCTAATTGAAAATTCGGTTCATTATAAATTTCATTTAACCGAAACATAATGTTCTGAGTATAATGAGACTACTACAATATAACATTATAGTTCACTGAAGTAGTTCCTGAAAGCAATAGCGCGAGCACGTATCTCGAGACAATAAAATTAATTAAATCAGCTATATTGTGCGCTTCAGTTACAATTTCCTCTCGTGAAAAGTACGGCGACATAAGCAAATTTCCATTTTGTATTAAATCCAGTGAAGTCTCAACGTTGAATTTAATGCAATAGAGATTTACTGCAAGGGGAAATGATTCGCATTGAAATGGTCGTTCGCAATATACTTTGCGGGCACGTAGAGAAATATAAACAAAGGGAAATTGCTGGGCGCAATAAGAAATTGCATTGCTACTCATTCTTAAATATACATTAAACGATAAATCAGATGCAAAGCCAGGTACAGAGTCCTGCTAAATCACCGTTAAATCTATGCTCTATTGTTGAATCTATAGCTATTATATTTTAATAGCTCATACACAGAAATAGTTAAAAGGAATTAAATTTCGTTAAATATTCATGCTGTTTATCTATGCAATATCTTAATTAAATATATGTGAAGATGGCTATAGTTCATGCATTTTCGAAGCAACTGCAAAACTATTATTACATTTCATTACTTCGTATATTTTTAGACCAATACAACATCAGCATTTAGAATTTTATGTACACCAGGTATCGAAAACTATCGGCTCTCGTGATAATAAAGTTATAAACACATTACACAATTTTTTTAATTACGGCTAATGAATCAAAAGTTATTGTGAATCTTAAACATTTTTGCATTGGAGTTTGTCACTTCACCAGAATAATGATTAGCTAAATAGAAAATCGTTTTCTCAGAATCAGTATTCCATTGCAATTGAACATAATATTCCTATCTTCTAAGCAAATGCTTGTAGATTAATGCACTACGGCCAAACAATTTGATTGCATTTTTTGCTTTAATCAAGTTTCTCTTAATTTCTTGAAGTTTCTTAGAGTTTTTAACAGTTTAATTGATATAAAACTCCATCATGCCGCGACGTAGAAATAACCCGTAAGAATCCGAGTTAAATGAACTTTTATAGCGCTTTAATAACTTTTTTGAATGATTTAATTTAAAACTTTTGCATTACATACACAGCTGCAGTTGTTTTCTTATCGCAATTTTAAACTTAATTATGAGAAGAATAGTGGATTTTTTTTAAACTGAGATGACATTTTTTGTACCGTACATATCATTAGAAATTGGAAATCATTATATAAACCAGCACTTATAATATATCGCATATACACACTCATTAAGGGGGTTGATCGGTTTTTATTTTTATTTTTTTCAATTTTGAGATTTCTCGATATTATGAAAGCTAAAAAACCTTAGAATTATTTGAAAAATAATCATCTCAATATCTATTTTTTGACGAAGTTATATTTATATATATCTCTATATGTATGATCCTCAGAAACCAGTTTTTTCATCCATCCGCGAGCTATTGTATGCCAGCTACTCTCTTTTTCATTATAATACCTCATGCACATGACCTTTTTAATGTGTCAGAATTCTTTGAACGCCATGGTGTATTTAGTACATTATATTAAAAACTTTAAATACGTTTTTCTCAAATTGACTTTTTTCAATGCGGTGCCACAAATTAAAAAAAAAAAACTACAAGTCAGATCGACTTGCATTTTTTTTAATTTGTTCACCACTGTAATACCTAGTCCCCCTACCTCAAACAACTTCATAACATTAAGCAAAAAAAATTTGCGAAGCTTCTCGTCCCAAAAAAATCTGTGGCACCGCAAAAGAGATCGATTTTGCAATGCCCACTTTGGCGCCCCCTGGTTAAAAAATGACGGCGAAAAAAAAAATTGTTTTAAAAAAACTGCATGTTTCTATGATAAATACATTTCGAGAAAAACAAAAACAAATACTTTGCTTTTTTTATACCAAAAAACGAACAACCCCCTTAAGTCCAATTTGAAATTTCATGTCATTCGAGTACTCTGAATTCGAATTAAACAAGATAAATTTAATCGAAATAAAGTTGGATATACAAAAAAGGTCTTCCATTGTGTAACAGTCTAACGCATAAACAGTGTGGACGGGGTGGTGTATTCGTAGACAACCTGACATCGGGCAGCAGCGATGTCCATTTTCACTTGATATTATAGACTAAAATATGTTTCCAATTGAAAATAAGACCAATTTGGGAACTGACTTGTGAAATGGCAATGCGAAATCCCTCACACTATTCTTGCCTGAATCGAGCTAGGGCAGTTCTACCCATTTATATAAGAAATATTACCTATTTCCTGGTGTTACGCTAAATATTTAGATGAAATCAAATTATATGAATTACCTAATAGATCAACCTATTTTATAGTATATAATTAACTTATCTAAATCAAATCATAGAACAAAGAACATAAAATGATAGACCAATTTTGTACTAGGCTTATCCAGCATAAATTGAATATTTCTCACGGGATTCGCCAACGTAGTATCATTACACAGTTTGTACTTCTGAATAGAAAATGAGTGTATGCACAGACAAAACCTTTAGTAGTAATAAGCTTCGCAACGAGCGCCTGTTTGCTTACTCTGTAATTGTAGCTTGAACCAACAATGTCAAACACTCTCGACGCTCTCTATTATTGTCCTGTCCTGTTTATTTATAAAACGTATGGAGAGACGACTATATGGTAATTCATCAAACAATGTTTCATAAGCGGTATTACATAATTATGGGCGTGAAACATGTGTATTTGCCTAATTCATGAGACGTGGAAATTCAATAATTCACGTACTAAATTATTCAAAGTAAATTTTCACTCATAACAGGGAACTGTGAGGTGATGTGTCGCACGAAATAAACGTATCTTGGGTAAAGAATGATTGATGTATTTAAGTAATTGATATATAGCGTATGATTGTCAAATTACTGATGATAAATTGATAAGAATAATATATATGCGACATAAATATCTAAATGTTGAACTATCGAAAAGTCGCGAATTTGAAGTGTATGGAAATATAAATTCACTATTAATATTTCCTACTTCAAACGTCCTTAACAATTTTATCTAAAAATTTTGAGTAGAATTAATCTATGAAGAACAAAAATATTTACTTTGCCATATGAAAAACGAGTGTGCAGAAAAGTAAACTTTATTCTTTTATTGAATAATCTATTAATCCAATGCATTGAATAATCTACGATAAAATGTAATACAGTAGAACCTCGACCGGACCTAGGTTATACACATTTGCAATTAGCCAGACTACCAACCGCAACCAATTTTTAAGTATGTACATACCTACAATTCGAATTTTAGCATGATTAATGCTGCAATGTACATGCATGTAATGTAATAGAAAAAAATATGTATGTACAAACATAAGGAAGTGTTAATTTCTTAATAAACATTGATTTTCGTTGATATCTATGTATGTAATTGTTAATTTTAAAAAATACACAATGTTATTCTTCATACATTCGATTAACCGGATTTTTGATTATCCGAATGCCCATCGACAACAATTAGTCCAGTTAATCGAGGTTTTACCTAATACCTAATATTCAATTAAATCGGTAATTCAAACACCTACACCCTATCCTAATTTGCATACTTCAATGAGGCATGCCATACTTTGCCAATGCAGAGATCAAAGTGACACTTACCTTCGGATCAAAGTCAAACACGAGCTCGGGCTTAAGAGGGCAATCTAGACCACATTTGCACGTGCCGGTGGTGAGCAAGTAACCGCGCACGTGGGACAACGACACCAGCGAAACGCCACTGGGACTGTAAAAGAAAAAAAGTTAAGATTAAAATCATTAATTAGACTGATATTAATAATTCAAAACATTAGAAATGTTCAATTATCTTGGAAACAGGAAAGTGATTACTTAAAACAACGATTTTCAGAATGATGGTCCAATAATTATGACATATTAATAGTTTTTAAATATTAGAACCACCCATATATCATTTATTACTTGTTGTCATAGATACTGCCCCGCAGGCCAATGCAATAAACAGAACTGTGCAGGTCCGTCATTTTTGACAGATAATATAAATTTGATCCATCATAAAATTTCGGTTTGCTTTAAATGTATCAATGTTCGATAATGTGTAACAATTTTTGTGATTGCTAAACTGTATGCTATATTGATTATTGTAAAAAATTTATAGTTGAAACAAAACCTTCATACAAAAATTATACACAGACTCAAGTGAAGATTGAATGGAATGATTAGTTTGTAAGATGTCGCCACATGAACATTGTGTTACTACTGGCGACAGTATGTTTTTTATTGGTATAATGACAATAATTGTAGTTTACGGTTATTGTGATAAAAAAAATTATTACAGGAGACATTACATATTTTACTTGTTTCAATTATAGTTTGCATTGAAAAGAATTACTTAAAAACAACAACTTTCTTGAAAATGAGTTTAGAATAAATTCTCAGCATTATAGCCGTTTTTCTTGTCGCTTCTACTTGCTCCGGTATATGGTACCACTAACCCCAAACACGGGGTAAGTTGCAACACCATACTTGCTAGAAATTGATTAATTGTGAGATAATGAACAAAAATGGAAAGAATTATTTTTTATTGATTCAGTAAAGGAATAGTTACAGCAACTATTCATTTTGATTTCGTAGAAATATAATCAGAGGATCTCAAGATATATTATTTTAAATTAAAACTGTTACAACCAGTCCCTAGCACCCCTATATAAATAAAACATGTATATTACGGCGGGTCAATTTAAAGGTCACTTAGGCACAAATGATTTTTGGATTCTAAGGACCAAAATAAGATACTTTGCTGAAGAAACCATACATCTAAAATGAATTCTAATGTCCCATGCATTATTCCAAAAATGAGGGTTAAATTTTGAAAAACCTCTCAGGGCACCAGGGGCATGGGTGGATCGGCCTTCCAAAGTCAGTGGGGTTTGACTCTAAATGAGTCAAAATGGAATTTTTCAAATTTCATCCTTTATTTTTGAGTCAATGTACAGGACATCAGAATTTATTTCAGAGTGTGGTTTCTTCAGCAAATTATCTTATTTTGATCTCTAGTATCCGAAAATTATATGTGCCTCAGCGACTTCTTTTGACACATACAAATCGACCCGCTGAAATATATAGTTCATAAACAAAAATTCTTTAAAAAATTGATTAATGATACGTATGTAATTATATTTTGAGTATGTCCCTATAATTTTTCACATAATAGCTCAAAACAATATCGAATTTAATCTAGTAGAAGGCTTGATTAAAAATTATTCTCTCGTAAAATTGGAAAAACCTAAAATCCAACACTAAGCCGTATTTCAAACAAACGTCAGTCAGTTATATGTAGCTGCATCGATTCAGGCACTCAATCAAACTAAAACCGATTGCGTACAAAATAGCTATAAAATGAATAACGAATCAACGACATAATTGGAAATAGCAAGAAAACAATGATTGACGATGCAAAATGTAAACAGCAGCAATATGATTGACAACCTTATTATTTAGCGGGATGACGGCTCTGATACATTCTAGCAAATGAGAAAATTTTATAGTAAGTGCTTGTCGACTTTTATAATTGAATGAGATGCATTCATAATTACATATTGCGAAAAGAAATTAATTATGTTGCTGTCTTGACTGCATAAAATTATGGCAGTTTGTGAACGCTTTTACGTTTTGAGGTTTTATGAACAGTTCACTGTCGTTGACTGTCCTCATCTTGTAGTTAATTTACTCAAATATTGAATTGTGTAGACAATTTATTCAGATGCATGCTTATTTCATTTCAAAATTGAAAATAATCACATAAGATTTGAACAAAATTATATAGACTTCTTGACTGATAATGAGTGATATTTGAAGTGCTTTAAAACATTTAAGACTACTGTCTATTAATGACCAAGCTCAAGCGTCAAAATAATATAATGCTTACTACAGGTCTCGATTCTCTTACAATATTATACACTCGATATTTTTCGAACATTTTTAAAGATTATCCAAAAGGTACTGCAGTTTCTTACGTTAACATTACTGATTTGATTAGCACAATATATTAATTTAGTACACACCTAATTGATAGAGGCGTATACTTAATTGCTTCCATGCAATCGTATCTGTGATCATTAATAATTTTGCATCAAAATACAATTAATCGTATTTTCGCTAATTAATTTTCATGCGACAGAAAGAACATCATTAAATTTCATCGTTCTAGAAACAATTACAAAGAGTATATACTAATTGTTCAGTTCTACTAGCAGATAGGCCAGACATGACGTTTCTAATTGATTGATCCCACGTCGAACGACAGGTGCGCAGTATTTGCGAAACTGCGATGCAATTCATATGTTTTATTTGTTCGCTATTTTCTCTCCTATAGCTTGTTAAAGTATTGATTCTGTGCACTGGGTAATTGTAAAAATGTAATTGGTCAACGAACTTCTTCAGCTAAACAACTAATTAGAGAAAAAATAACTTTCTTTTCTACAATCCTTCAAATCGTTGGCTAATACCTAAAAGTGTCTTATTAATTTTAATGGAAACAAAAACAATCAAAAATCCAAAAATTCAGTAATTCATGTATTTAAAAATCCTATTTAGGTTAACTTCAACATGCATAATCTACATCTTCAAATGAAAAATTTAAATATGATTATAATAAAAAACATATAATAGTTATTATGCAAACTGCAATAGCAATTTAATTATTACAATATTGGTTGAAATCGATTGTGCCAGACATGTTCTTCTAATTGTGTACGTAGCGAATGTCTTATCTTTATGTAATAATTGTATATTTATTTTAATTGCAAACTGGTGAATAAACATGGCGCAAATTATTGCAATAATGATTTTGTTTATTTAACTTGGAGCTATTTATATAATACCGGTATTGTTATTATAATTTTATGTCGCTTTGTTCTTGGATGAATTATTACTATAGTAATTACTTTCAAATTTGGGTCAGATTTTCAATGCACATTTCAATAATTATGATCACGTTTCTTGGCAAAAATAGGTTGGTAAAATTCTTGCTTAGAATTTTTTAGGAAAATATAATTATCTATTTCAATCTTTACTTGAAATATACAGACAATGAAAATGAGCAAAGACTTGTTTTAGTATTGTATTGTCACGTTTCATTATAAGTTTGTTTTATATTTATAAATCAATTGTTACATCTATTTTAGCTTCATATATCAATTTCAACATATAGACTGAAAAATTTCAATTTCAATTTCTATTTCAATTCAGTTTGCGTTTAGTTGCTATATAATTTTAAATAATATTGGTGTGCTAGTAAATTTCGCGAGTATCGTGGTATTTTTACGCCATTTGTTATACATTATTGATTGATGAGTTGCACACTTTCGCTCGACCAAATAAATAGGCGCAGCAAAACCACACCTCGCATCGAGAAAAAAATTGCAAATGCTTATTTAACAAACTTAGCCAAAAGTTATAGTTAAAGTCGCTTGAGATTAAATTTAGTTGAAAACCATGAAGATCTGTTTGTGTGTGTAATGAGAATCTTATAAGTAGTACACCGTGCTACAACTTTAACTTGTCCAAGTTCATAAATCAATTGTATCTTTTCATATCCACATATATATCTATATAACATATGGTATATGTCGAAAATATCAAATTCTAAAAATAAAACACCAAAAATGTAGCGCATCTAAATAAGAATAACACACTCGAAATTTATAATTCAGTTAATTCAAAATTAATTATGTGAAAGAGCATTGCAAGTTATTTTTAACATGCAATGAAATTAATTGTGAAGCTCGGTAAAATACTTCAGATAATAAACCATTCATTTACAATATAATTATCTCTTAAAATAAAAATTTTCTTTAGCCATAAAGTATTTATCTCAAATCACAAATTATATGGAAAGAAACAGAAATATTGATAATTAATCCTCTAACGTTTTGATCTGTATTTCATCATTAAAGCTTTGATATCTGATGACTAAAAACCTAAGAGCATAACAAAGCGAGCATTCTGTTCGTTATAAATTCAAACGAAATACAGATATAAAGGAATTAAATGTTTTTTTTATATTCTTTCTCAAATTTTTCGACTTGCAACTTGTTGAAACCATATAGCAGCGCGTTGAATGAATAAAAAATTCATGGTAAAAACTTGTTAACACGATATCTCTCCCTAGTCTATTTTGGATTATCGCATTAGATAGAGAGCTGGTATTAAATAAGGAATAAAAACAGTATAAATATAGTTAGAAATAAATAAATTCTGAACCTGATATAACTATTATTAGGATTAAGTCCAATTTGAGAGATTATCCGTTGCTACTTCACAGCGAAGGTTCATAATTATTTTCAATTGTAAATATATTTTCGATCTACATTTCCAAGTGGTCTAAATCCCTAGTAGTTACGCCACTGGGTTGATCTGCTAATTTCTCAGCAATATTTTTTTCTCATATATATTGTTATCTGTCTTTGCATAATGTTTTTGAATAAAAAGATCGCAGAACAAAGTTAAATAATAAAAAAAAATCGGGGGACTTGAATATCACCTCTGAATGACCTCAGGTTGTTTGGTATATATTTTCATTGTTTCATGATTTAGGCAAAATTAATATGGTATAATGTGTTTACCTGTGAGTTTATTACGTTTGTCAGAAATCGTTTACAACATTAAAAATATTTGTAATTGTAGATTAATGTCTAGCTCTTCCACTATTTAAATGTGATTAAAAAAAATCTTTTTGAAGCTGTAACGTGCAACCAGTTTATAATA